TCTAGTTGAGCAGCTGTTGAACCACCGCGACGTGAACGGACGTCGGACGAGTTATCTCGTCCGGTGGCGCGGCTATCCCCCGTCCTGGGATACTTGGGAGCCCCGCTCCCAACTGATGGTTGACGTACTGGGTCTGGTCGAGCAGTACGACGCGGCACATCCTGTGCCGCAGAAGGACCGCCGGAGAAAGTCTTCCCGGCACGGTCGTAAAGGGATTTCAGGTTGTCAATCCCTTCTTACATCTCAGTAGAGATACGTACGCGCCACCACGGGCTACTAGGGAGGTAAAGCCTCCTTAGGTGCTCGTGCAGAGTTGTTCACACAACATGGGCACGAGTCTCCCCATGAGAGGCAGGGTAATCCTTTCTCCCTTGACAGACGATGCAGCTTGTAGCGTGCACCTGTCGGGGTTCGCTTTTAAAACTTATCACGAGCTTTGATAAGTTTGTCGTTCCAAACGTCACGACCTACATCCTCAAGGTTATGGATGTAGGGGTTCCACGCTTGAAGCAGTGAAGGACCGTCACGCTTGTGATTCCCACTGTACCATCGATGTCTAAAGAAAGCATCAATGAAGAATTCATTCTCAGCGCGATAGTTTTTCGCGCTGGGGTCAAGGTGATGGATCCTTGACGAATCGAACAACCGTGTTCGATAACGATCACTCGTCGTTGCCGACAAGTGATCCATGACGGATTTGGGAGGTATCCATGACTTCTTCTCAGGAGCGAGACGCCAGACATTGCGGTCCCGCTCTTCCTGCGACGTGCCGACAGAAGGACTGGCACCTCGCTGTGAAGTGGTGTCCATAGGAGAACCGACACCACTGTTAGCGCCCGAGTCTCGCGACCTCGAGCGCCTTCGCTTCGGCGATAATTCATCTGATTCATCAGACGAACCAAAGATGCTACGACGCATAGCATCATCCATGCCACGCTTGGCAGGCGGCTTGGATTCAATCGCCGTCGATACGGATCCGTCTTCCGTATCAGGAGAGTATGAGACACCGAGCTCATACTCTGTGAAGACACGAGTGTCTTCATGACCAGCGCCTGCATCACCAAGTGACACAGGCTGAGTCGCTTCAGCAACCGATGAGACATCAGTTGCTGTGGTTTCTGCTTTGGCGTCTGCACAGAGACGTGCGGACGCACTCTCGGCGGCCTTGCTCGCGCATCGCATGGGCTTGTTAACCATGCGATGAATTTTTGGAAAGTGGACTCGGACCAACAAGTGCAAACCCTGTCCCAAATGATTTGGGACGAGTATCCATTTAGTCAATCAGTCACTAAAGTGACTGATGGTTAAGGGGGGGGTGATGTAACGGGGTGAATCGTTACATAACAATTTATAAGAAATTGTTAATAGAATACAACTATAAGAGTTATATTCTCAGAATATTGTCATAAGGACAAATTTTCTGTAGCACTTACGAGTAGTTCCTAATTGGTTGATATAGGCCATTATATCAACCAACGAAGACGCGCCACGACAGACGCACGCAATGAGTGGTGAGCAGATAACTGATTTACACATTTGTATTTAGACATAGTTAGATGAAGGTAAATAGTGATTTATTGCAGACATTAACTATGATAAATGCAGTTCTACTTTTTACTCTAACCAAGTACTCGCTTCTTCTTACCGTCTTCCTCTGCACGTACCAGTGTACGTGAAGTTACGAGGCACCGCCTTATTCTGTCATCAGAATAAGTAGCTTGTACTGTCACCAGTACAAGCTTCAGGGTGCCCCGTTACATGATACACACAGAACGCATGCGGCGTGGGTCGGAACGTGTAGTCGTACAATCACAGACCCGGCTCCACCTGGACCTGGATTTCCGCGGGATCCGTCAAAGAAGAGGAGGTAAAGCTCGCCATTGAACCGGTCGATAGGCCGGACTAGTAACGAAGGAGGTTCATCGTAGCAGAGTAGGGTATCAGCCAAGGCCGACCGTACCTGCGCAAACAGTTGCCCAACTTCCCCCATCTCGGGCTGATAGGTTGATCGCCGAAACCGTCGGACCGACCGACGAAAGCTCGTCTTGGCGCTGGACGTGCGCACCTCCTGTGATAACGACGAGTCTTCCATGCAGCGGAGGCGCTCGAACCAGATTGCATGAAGGGTCGTTGATACGACAAAAGCCACAGCTCTCTAGCTGCCGGAAATATAGTAGCCTGAGCTTTTGATAAATTAGCGCCTGGGTCCATGGATTGCTTAATTACATCCCAGGCAAAGTGGAATCGCCGGGAGGTCCAGGCCAAACAAACATTCAATCCAGCCTCCTGGAAAGTTCCAAGCCATCGCCACCGATCAAGGAGAAACTCCCAGTGACGACGCGCACTAGAGCATGTCCAAAAGATATGGCTTGCCAGAGCTGGACCAGCATTCGCACACTCAGGGACCGGCCAAGACAGATCTTGCTTCGCCCAATTCCATAGCTGAAAACTGTTACTCTTTAGCCTTTACAGCGTCTGAGCGTTTGTCGGAAAGGACGCTCGTATCGTCGAATATCCCTCCAAGTAAATAATGTTGTACCTTCCGAGATCACTTAAAAGTCTGTCGTTGCCACACGTTCATCAAGAAGTCTAGTCCCTACAGCACGGCGCCGCCGGGTGATAATCTGTTTCAGTTTACGTCGTTGCGGCCGCCACCTTCGTCGTCCAGCCCACATGTGGACAACGCGAGTAAGCGCCGGATGCGGTCCAAAGTGAACAGGAGACTTACTAGCTGTTGACACGGCTATATCGCATGCCGCCATCGACGCGGCCGGTTGCACTCCACATTCCATGCCCGTATCGAAATGTCTGAGCAACTTTACCGTCACCAGTTAGAAGCCAGTCATGGAACTGGTGAACCTTTGTAGAGTATGCAATCACAGACCCAGGCTCCAGTGGTAGATTGACCAGTGACGGAAATTGTAAAGCAGCGCGAGGCAGAAGGACCCAAAATACTGTCGCTTTGCCATAGACTGGGTGCCATGTCACGCGGAAGAGAGAACAAGACCATGACACTCTGCAGGGTCGTCCACGTCATTTTCTCGCCAAGGTAATTCAAGTTTCGCGCAAAGTCGGCCCCGTTCAAGCTGTAAGCCTTACCCTGTCGATCTCTGAGCCACGACATATCCTAAAGCGTGGCGTGTGCCAGCCACCGGTGGTCAAATCGCCCTGATGCTGCTACATCAGCTCGCATCCCAACGCGCAATCTGTCATCAACAACCCGCCGAACATCAATTGTGACACTACCGTCTTCATTACAGGTGACTGCGGCTCTCGACGTAAACGACAAGGCTCGTCTACAGACCTCGCTGACCGCACCTTGGCGTGCATGTTGAGCCGAAGAAAGTCCAACACTTTCAGACCCGGTTAGCCAAAGCGTCGCGCGATATCGAGGGAGCTTGTCTTCCGTCCAACAAGGCGTAATGTAAGCCTTACCCGACCCGGTAGATCCCCAGAAGAAGTCACCAATTAGTAAGTCTCTCGAAGAGACAGTAGCAGCCCATTGTCCAACTGCTGTTGCCGCCATTTTCATCAATTCCGTCCGAATACAGGGAACCGCTGATCCTCCCTGCTGGATAGGTAAGGCCACTATCTCGGAAGATACCCAGGGTCTGGATCGCTTTCTATCTCGGACACCCCATACAAAGTCCATAATTAAGCTGTGCAACCGGGTAATCACTGCGGGAGGAGGCCAACAGTGCCGTGCTAAGAAGATAATGTTGGGCACCGCGATAGCACTTGCTAGCAGAGCACGTTGTTCTCGCGGGCTAAGACAAGTCGGCTCCATATAGAACGTATGCACTTATTCCAGTTATCGGCCACCGCGTCCTGTTGTCCCACCAATACACCAAGATGCCTGCAAGAGTCACTAGGGGCCTGCAGAGTGAGACCGCAGGTGCTAAAAGGTTGCTCTGATCCGCGAGGGTCCAGCTCAATGACCATTGATTTCGACCGATTCGTCCGGAGACCCGACACATGAACAAATTCCTCTAGAATAGCTACAACAGGCGTGGCCGAGGACCGATCGCGAAGGTAGAAAGCAGTATCGTCAGCGTATCCCGATACTTTGAACTCTGTAGCCCGCCCTCCAGTGGAGAGAGGCACCCCCCGAATGTCCTCCCTCGCTTGTAGCACCCGATAGACACTATCGAGGGCTAAAATAAAGAGAAGTGGCGCAAGTGGACATCCTTGCCGTATTCCACAAGTAACGTCACGTCGACGAGAGCGGTATCCATTCACAAGAAATCGGCAGGTAGTGTCGTGGTGTAATGCTGCCACGACTGATACGAAATGACACCAAAAACCAAGCCATATCAGAGCCGAAAGCAGATATGGACGTTGCAACGTGTCGTAAGCCTTTTAAAATCGAGAAGTAGCACAATGGCTCCATGTAGGCTGCTGTACAAAGTCGCAGCTTTGCGTACCGTCGCGAAAATATCAAGAGCTGTATGGATCGACCTCTTTGGAACAAAACCAACTTGAGCCGGCAAAACGAGATGCGACAATAATGGCCGTACCCGAAACGAAAGAATCCTGGTAAATAACTTGTAGTCGCTGTTGAGGAGAGCAATCGGGCGATGATCGAGCGGCAAGGCGGAGGACGCAGATTCCTTCAAACACTAAATGTTCGCTTCACCGAAGGAAGACGGGAACACGCTGCACGTAAGCCATCTGGTGTGGAATGTAGCGAGTACTGGACTGAGCGCGTCCGCGTAATCTCTGTAAAATGTGTTGTTAATTTCGTCCGGTCCCGCGGCTTTCCCACGTTTTAGCCTTTTTAAAGCCGCACTCACGTCATCGGGGGAAACGGCCGACATCACAGTAGTGCCATCAACTGGTTCTGGCGGGACTGCCCGGGAAAGAAAAGTGGCGGTAGCGTCGGGACAGGCAAAGGAATGAGTCATTATACGCTCCCAGCCATCCGCCATTTCATCAGCCAACTCTTGAGAATGATTTGGCCCGTATGCAGCCTTTCCGCCCAGAGAAACAATGGTGTTGTCTTATAATTTAGTCGCCACCCGGGCGAAAAAACGTCGAGACGTTTCTCCAGGAGTATATGTGTGTTGAACAAGGAGGCGCTCTTTTTTGGATCTCTGCCATAAGCGTCGACACTCCGCAACATTACGCCGCAGTCCAACCGGAGTATCGGTGGTGCTAGGCTTGTTGCAGTCCTTATGAGCTCCTAATGGTGAGTTATCAAGTGTAAGCGCCACCAATAGAGCTGCGTCCAGTCTTACATAGAGCCGACGTAGCCGCTGCCGATAGCTTGTTGTCATACCTTGACGCGCGATCTTGGTCGTCGCCAGAAGAACTTTGCGAAGCCTGATCTTCCATTCATCCCACCATTCGGCCAATCTACGGGCCGTGATATTGTCCGACGGCGGAACAGAAAGAGTCTCGTCCGCTTGAAGCTGTGCCAGCTTAATGGCCGCAACAATTGCTTTATGCGCGGCTGTGTTAGCACAACCTGGAACAGGGTACACGTACCTCGGCTTACGTATACGGACCGCATAACGCGGCACTCCAATCCTGATACTGATGCCATTGTGGTCAGCTGCTGGACCAGGTACTGACAAAGCAACGCCACGAATCCAATCAGCATGGCGAGAGCTCACATACCACCGATCCAGTCGGGAACTAGCCGATACACCGCCCGAAAGAGTATAGAAATAAGTGTGAGAGGCCGCATGAAACGCCGGTACATCTCTTTCTTCTTCGGCCATCTCCAGATCATCATCAAGAACATCGCTAAGCTGCACTCGGCCGAGAAGCCGCCGAAGCGCCAAGGAATCATGTCTTCCTGGCGGCGAGACAAAAGAACGGTCAAGTCGCGGCTCCAAAGTACAGTTGAAGTCCCCTCCAACAAACATGGGTCCTTCGTATCCCTGAAGAATAAGTAGAAGACTCGAGAACATCGCCTCTCTTTCAGTCTTGGTACTTGGGGCGTAAACGTTTACAACAAGAACTGTTTCGCCCATTAGACAGACCCGGACAGCCATCCAATGCTGTGTCCGCTGATCCTCATACCACGAAACCATTTCCGTAATTTTTGAGTATGGGTTCAATAAAATAGCCACACCTCCACGAGAGAACTCGGACTCGGTCCACAACGAGCGTCCGATTTTGTGCACGAATCCCCAGAAGGAGTTGTAAAGCTTGTCCAGAGGAGCTGCCTCACCTAAAGTGACCCGCGTTTCCTGTAAAAGGACCGAATCGATGATTTTCCTGGCTTCGCTCTGTCGGAAGTGACTGAACCAAGTTACGCAATGTTCCGGATTCTTGGGAAATCCCGCGACATTCTACGAATGGAGACCTATGCTGTTGTCGCGTGAAGACATGAGGTCTTAAAAAGGCGTCTTGGACGACGTTGTGGCATGTGCCGCGACGATGCATCCTATAGCTCAGCCGAGACGCCCTCAGCACCTAGAGTCCAGCAGTTGACTATCTTGAGCGATAAGGTCAAGGGCCGGCTGCCAGTTGGAAGGTGTGCTTATAATGCTAATCACCGCCGCGCACACCTCTTTGGAGAGGTGATATAGTACAGCCTTGGTTTGCGGCATTACCACGTTCGTCTTAACCTCAATAAGTGCGAGCTTCGGGAGCAATAAACACAGAACATTGAGGACTCCCCACTGATCCAAGTCAGAAAGCGGTTCGACGACAGTCGCGCACAGCAAATCGGGCTGTAGCTTACTAAAGCGTCTCCAGCGTTGTATATCGTCCGTCGTTCTCCATCGAATATGACCGGTTTGCGCGTCTGCCGTGGCGGCCCAACCCTTGCACAGCTCGCGAAGTTCTTCGTCTGCGTGTGTGGTGTGTTCCTGAATTACAGCCAGTTGAGATTCACTGTTAATGGAATGTCCAAGAGACCGTAGGGTTTCACCTGACATCGAGGCAAGGTAAGCAACAGGATAAGGTAGTCCACAGACGAGTCCCGCCAAGTCCAAGGAGCACGCGTTTATCCAGGCCATTTGTCCCTTAGGTCCAACTGGCATTGTAGTCGGTAGTGCAGCCATCGCTTTGTGCAGGCTAACCCATTTGCGAATCGCCGCTGTGTTCAATGAAATTTGTTTCATGCTCTCCGGCACTGCAGCAGCCGCCACCGCAGCAGATGCGCTATCTGGAATTTTGCGAATCCTTGTTGCGCGTAAAGTCTGATCGTGAGGATCGGGAGCGCGACGTTGTTCCATCGGGGACCGGACCGCTACCTGCGTACAGAGACCACCCATGCTAGCAGTAGGACGTGTTAATAAACTAGAGGCACCCGTGTCGGAAACGTCGATAACTTTAGACGAGGCCTTAAGCTCTTCCTCAATTGCCTTGGCTAGATCCGCTGGAACAGGTACACTAGCGGCAAAGATAGGCGGAGTAACTGCCCCTCCATTTAAATCATTCAAGCACATAGTGTTCCCGAACGTAACCGTGCTCTCCGCCATAGTAACATCGAGATCTTGGGGAAGCTTCCCGTCCGATTCTGGGGGGCACATCGGCGGTAGATCCGGTGGACCCGGATCACGAGGCTCCTTCGCGGTAGGTACCGTACCAAGAGGTTTATCGATCGGCTCACTTGGTACACCCCGTTTGCGGCGAACATACGAAGCCGACAAGCGTTGTATCATGGACCGACTCCTCTCTCTACATCTTTCTGCCATCTCCGTAGGCATCTCGCGAGGTGGTCTATCCTCTTGTGGGGCCGTATCTTCGGTCACAGGCTTTGGTTTCGGTGTAATCTTTGCCAATTGTCGTGTCAGTCTTTCGAGGGTTTTCGCTGTTATCGTTGCATCTGCATTCGCTCGGTTCGCCGTCGCACCTGCGGTGCGGTATTCGTACTCCATCCTCATCAATTCTTCACTGATTTCTTCAGGAGAAGTAGGTTCTCTATTACTCGTTTTCTCAGTAGCAATAGCCACTTCGAGTGCCTGAGCGTGAGCCGCAAAGTAGCATGATTTCGTGGTGTCTGCCGCGCGCTGCTTCTCTTCGGCTGCTAAATTAAGTTCCTCGACCGTTTTTTTGTGCGGTTGCTACTTGCGATCGAACGGCCTCAAGGGTCGCCTCTTTTAAATTTGTCGAAGGCAGCGCCGAATCGACCCCCGGATCAATCGGTGCAGGTTCTGCAACTTCCTCATGAGCACCACTCAATATGTGGTCCAGTTCCCAAATCGCCAGCGTGCGCTGGGTGTCCGCCTTCGAAGAAGCGGAGGGTGGTGGCGAAGAATGGACCGTGGTCGATTGCCCTTTTTGACGAACAGTTGCCTTAGTCTGTTGAGGTGGTTTCTTTTTGTCAGCGACCGTGTTCGTGGAAATAGTTTGGGCAACAGCCTTCGACTTCGGGAGTGGTGACTTTCTTGCACCTCCATCTTTGTTGAACTGCGGATGCTTGGGTAGCTTCACAGCAGGTCCTGTTGCCCGACTAGCCGGAACATCTGCGGGGCGCATATCCCTCTTTTTCTTGTTCGCTCCAGGATCGAACCACTCGTTTGTCATTGGACCACTGGCGCGAGTAGCCCCGCCCCGAACGGCCTGTCCACCGGCAAGCGGAGACGTGTTCGGAACTGATGACTGCCCAGCACAAGGAGGTACCTGCGAGACCTCACTTAACAGTGGGGCCTTGTTGCCATCAGCCTTTAACTTCGCCGTAGTTGCCACCAAAGTATCCGCCAGTCCAGAGACATGCTGCAGGCGACCGGCAACGTCCAAGTGGTTAAAAGTCAACCCACTGACGTGAGGAGGAGCTATTGGAATACCAGTAAATTCTCGGTGATGCTGAACTTGAAGGCGCCTTTGCGTCCACCACACTTAGCACTCGAGTGATATGGCGAATAGCAGGAAAAGCAGGGAACGCGTTAAAAGTGACAAAAAGGTGGAGAAAGATCGGATGTTGCGATGTGCGTGACCAGCTTGAGTTGCTCGGGACATGACACCATGTCAAAAGTTGCCACGAAAAAGTGGGAATCATATGCCTCCGAGCCGAGTGGGCACCCACGAGACACGGATGTGACTGTACATGCCACACTGGACGCCAATATAGGTTGAACCGTGCTTGCCGCCACTCCATTGACCAAACTCCGGACTTGGTATTGCAATTGGTTTCTACCGCTTGACGTGGCTAGTAGCGAAGGAGCAGTAATGTCTTCGTGCTCCATAGTGGCCGGGCACAACAGCTGAAGACGCTTTCCGCGAAAAAAAATCATCTTTGCATGCCAGCTTGCTGCTGCGGCTTGATCCGGCATAACGAAAGTCATTCGCCTCGTTTCGGCATCGTAACTGGTCCGCTTGGCGCCCTTGGCCAATTCCCGACTCATGACATCGGACTCCGTCTGCCCCTCACTGCGTTCCAAGAGCTGGAGGAGCAACGTTTTCTCGGCGATGTACTGAGGCATGCGCACGTACGGAGGGACAATCGCAATGACCTTCCATTCCAGGTACTCTTCGAAAAAATCAAGCATTACAACTCGCGTAGCCCTCGGGTGCGTGCACACCAAAAATCCAGGCGGAGACTGGAGCATGATAGCCCCCATCATCCATGCCGCTAGAGCCTCCTCTTTAAGCAGAATCATCGAACGGAGATCATCGTCTGATCTGTCGGTCCCCACTCTCGTAGCCGCCCGCACCAGCACACGGTTGTGGTCAGCAGATGAGCGCTGACTCCCATCCTCTTTGGAGTCAGCGAAAAGTCCCGGACCCCGCCCGTCTACCGTGTCGGCCCTTCCCTGCTCTGTTGCAGCTCTCACCGGTCCCGAGCCCGCAGACACCAACAAGTGAGGCTCATACGCCGACCCGAGATTTTGAGATCGAGCCACAACGTCACAGGAAAAAGCTCCCGCGATAGGAGAGGACTTGACCCGCGGTCCTTTCCCCTGTGCACCCCGTTCTGTAGCCACTGGATACTGACTATTTCCGTCAAGGAAGGAGTCAGCCACTGCGGCCGCGTACGAACGCCGATCAGTACGGGTCCTACAAATAGGCGCAGTAGTTGGGGGGCCGAGGCCGCCTGTCCAAGCTCGTCATCACTCCATGCCACTCGCGTACGGTGCCCGGTTCCTCCGTCCACATGTTCGCCGTTTTCGAAGTCACCGCGCTCTTGGGTCGGCGAGGGCTTATTACTAGGCGCTAATTCGCCTTTGAATGCGTGCATACTGCGTTGACACACTCCCCGGTGCCACAACGATTTGTTTGCGTGATTGGTCGCAAATCTCGAAGTGTACTACTTGAAACACCGATGTTGTCACCAGGCTACCGTGGGTCAATCGATCGATATAGCAATCAAAGAGTTCGAGAATTTGATGTGAGAGTGACACTACCTTAAGGTGTTTAGACCCGATACACGTAGCTGCGACAGACATCAGCACCACATATTTGCTAGTTCTTCTCGCATAAATGTAAATGATTGCGAGCAGTAAGGTTTCGGAGAAGCCGCGGTACTAGCCCAAGTGGCGTACGGCGAGGCATTCTCTTCCACACCAGAAACGTTAGATGATAGCAACTTGAGCACACTATAAACCAGCGCGAATGGTGAAGTTAGCCATTCGCTGGCAGTAACAATTTCTTCAGTCGGTTGTCAAATCCTACAGATGAGAGTGAGAATTTGTCTGCGATGAAGGTTACAAAGTAAAAAATGTCCTAGTGTGCCGCATGAAGTTATACTTCTTCGTCGTCCAAAAATGATGTACTCCGCATACCATGACATCCTCCAGTCTGCAATGGTGGCTGATACCGTTTCCGAGACACATCGAGTCTTGGAATGATCAGTGAAGTATATCTTCTATTCTCAATCTAGACGCAATTAAATAGCGGCGTTCTTGGAAACAATACATCCTGCTGTCGCTGTACTCCCGATCAAAATAACTAGCCGACTTATGAAAGCAATAGATGATCCAACTGTGGTATCTTGATACCTTTTGGAAATCAGTTGAGCAACTATTCTCGCATCACTCGAACCTCATACGCATCGTTAATATCGCAAAACGTTGTATATCCATTCCTTAAACGCTCGAACTACGATGATAGATGCAGTGCAGGACACTTACATATAGACTCTTGCGACTGAAGAGGGCTACACAACGATAAAGTGTACTCCGGCGATCGATAGTTTCTTTACGTTGGAGCGTATGTAATAGTCAGTGCTGTTCCATCAATATCGTAACCCGATGCAACTAAAACGGACTCAATGCTGGGAGCTCCGCACGAAGCAATACAGGTGAACAGCTAGTTGCTCGTATTGTATTCGCAATAGCAAGTCTCAGGTCTAGCAATGTTGACAGTTGGCCAACCATCTAATTTTGTGCTCCCGTGGTACTACGAAGCAGCATACTAGTGTATAAGTCAGCTAAATTACAGCTAGGTCCTAAAAATAACCTCTCATAATCAGTTGCGATGTAAGGGTGAATAACTCCCCTCGTTAGTGACGATGTCGTCCATCGGTTTCCTAGCGGTATCGATCCACCGGACCAGTGAGCTACCGCATATAATTTGCTGTCTTCGGTGTGCCGCAGCTTATGTTGGTAGTTAAGCTGTCATACCGAAATCTCCTTTCTGATTCAACGCCTTAGCTGCCAGGTTTAGCAGTTATAGTGTGTGATTTGTGTAGTAACACTAAGTTCTAAACAGATTTCCTGATTTTGTTAGCGCAGGGTTGAACGGGTCGCCCGTTACATGGAATTGACACCAATCGGTGTCAATAAGGAGATTGTCTAGCGTGACAATATTCTACCGATGTCATCCGAGATGGATAGTATAGAAGGAACATTATTCCCCTCAGAAAATGTTCATGCGCTGCTCCAAGATTGGTTGATGTAAGGAATATCAATCTTAGATTGCCACCAATCGCTGCTAGACGCGCGCAATGAGTGGTGAGCAGATTGTCGTCATACGACAATGTAGATTAATATAGATGGATAATGATTAAAGTTATATCGATAGATTAGCTGTATTAAATACGGTTCTCTTTTTACCTTTACTTGATCGAGTCGTTCAAGTAGATTAGATTCCTCTGCACGTACTAGTGTACGTGAAGTTTCGTGACACCCCAAGCAAAGGGTGCCCCGTTTCACCTGGTAGGACTCTATAGTCCGTCCAACGACTACTTAATTTCCGTCAAACATGAACATGTTGGACGTAGAGGACGACAGCTTTCACGTCACACGTGAAGGCTGCTTCCATCTGAGCGACTCAGAGTGGGAAGTAGTCGGCCGCATGAGTATGCTCATGGGGAAATCCGCCATCAGAGGCATGTTGGAGTCTCTTAGCAGAGACCAGTAATCGGGTGCTATCAACAAGTTCCTACAAGGGAAACTTGCCGTCGAACGACAGAAGATATCCTTGCTACAGCAGCAAGGCTCTCATCATTCGATGGGTGGTCCGACGCACATGCGTCGACCCGAAACCTTTAAAAATAGTATCCCAAGGTACAAGGGAGCCAATGAAGATCCCCTTTTAAGATGGTTCGTCGAGCTAAACGATGCCATCAGGGCCCGTCACATCGAGGGTGACGAGATGCAAGTCACCTTCGCCCTGACAAATTTGATGGAACGAGCAAAGAGTTGGGCCTTATGCTCACCTTCACGACCCGAACGTGTTTGAGTTGTTAGAGGCCTTACAGTCTCAGCTCAAAGACACATTTCAGCCGCCACGAGCCGAGTTCATATCACGCTTTGCACTCTGGTGGCTAAAGCAAGGTAAGCGTGACGTTCACGCTTACGCACAACACCTGCGCTACCTTGCTAGTGTTTTCACGAAAACCCTATTGATGAGCACACGCTCATCAACGTGTTCATCTACGGCATTGTAGATGGACCGGTGAAGACCTACATGTTCCGAGAGGACTTCCATTCTCTGGAAAAAGGCGAAAGCGTGTGCGGAACAAGAAGACTTCGGCCTGAGACAGTCTCAGGCTTACTCGTCAAACTATCGTCCGACGAGACGACAGGAAACAGGAGGTCCCGAACCAATGGACCTCTGTTACATCGAGAGCGAGAACTCTCGCTCTCTGAGTCACAAGCGAACGGCAAAATGCCATCTCTGTCAGATGATTGGACAATACGCTCAAGGGTGTAGTGTCCCAAGCACCGCATCACGTCCAAAGACAAAACGTGATGACCACCGTTGGATAAGGAATGGTCCAAGGTACGTGTCCAACCATGTCGCTAAATCACGACAGCAAGTCGGACCACCAAGAACGGTCAGGGCCAGCAGGGGCGGAGCACCCTACTGATCCATCAACGTCAAGAGAATTAGCAGGACTCTTGACGAAGATTGCTCCCAACACACAGTCGCTGAGTGTTACTGCCCCTAGTGATGAGGTGTCTCTCATCACTTTGAAGATCGAAGTGACAAGTGGAATGTCACTTCGCGCCCTAGTTGACTGTGTGGCGTCAACCGGTTTTATTCGGCGTCAGTCACTAGAGGATAGTAGGCTCAACTATGTTGAGCGAGAGTTCCCTCCAACGAGGATGAAGGTGTGCCTTGCTTCAGACGCATTAAAAACAGTGAACAAACGTCTTGTGGGAATCCACTACACGCTAGAAGAAAAGCAGTACGATGATGACTTCATCGTACCGGATTTGGATGACAAATTTGATTTCATCCTCGGTCTACCACGGAAAAGAAAATACCAGCCATGGATCAGCTGGCAGCATCGATCCGTGAGGATGCTTGCCGTCTGTTCATCAGATGGACATCTGAAGCACATCTTGGGGCGTTTACAAGCGTGTGGATGTACTACGAGTGAGTTCGATGGCCTCACTTGTGGTACGGTCGTTAGCATGACTGCACAGGATCACAGTGTAAAAGGCCACTGTACTGTGGAACAAGCTTCCGGCACATGTGTAGAGACACAGGCTGCGCCGAAGGTTCACCACTCGAAGAGATCGAGTGGACTGGAACACGGATGCACACCAAGAAGGGTGCATCCAAGAAGAGAGGTCAGTGTTGTTTAGGTTGAACAACACGTTGAAGCGAGATCGACTATCAGAGAGTCGATCGTAGAGCAAACACGATCGACTGAAAGAGAGTCGATCGAAGAGGACGTGACTGTGGAAGAGCACCCACAGTCAGAACACGTATTGGAAAAAAGTTCCAGTGTTCCAGAGAGTGACAAATCCCGAGAGAGTTATGTTGAGGGTGCGGATCCTCAACCATCTGCGGATGTGTTATTCCAGAAAATCACCGAGAAAGTGAATGTCCTGGTGAGTGACGCATCAAAGGTAGGCGCTTATACACTTGATCTGGTTACACTCCCGAAGTCAGCTTCGGATGTGGTCAAGTTGCCAACGCTAGAATCTAAAAGATTCTTGCGAGATCTGCGTAGTGACAAGATCAAGCAGATCTGCGTACTCGTCACAGAGGACGAGAACGTCACTGATATTCGGTCGGCACAAGTGTTTGTTGAGAACGAACGGGTTATCAGTAGCTCATCTATGGACGAGAGTGTCCTTGATGAGAAGACCCGGATTGAGCGATACACGTCTCAATCTTGGGAGTTTTAAAGTCAAATCCTTTGTATTAGAATTTGTTGAATTTAGGGATGTTTTCCCTGAATTCGTGCCATGCGAGCTGCCTAAGGACAAAGGCACTTGGCATGAGATCGAACAGAAACCCGGTTCGAAGTACTGTGTCATGAAGCAGTGGCCACTGCCTCGTGAACAGGCCACAGCGATCGAAAAAATGCTTTGCCGACCGTTTAGCGGCTTGTCATGTTAGGGAATCAACATCCCCACACAGCTCTCCGACCTTCTGTGTGCGAAAGGCCACAAGAGGGTGACGGATGGTGCACGGGCTCAACAAACCAAACGCTGCAACGGTACCGGCCTGGACGCCTGTACCAAAGATGGACGTCATCATTGATAGTATGGCAAAAATTCCATATTTTCGTCCGTAGCTCTGATGAGTGGATTCTATCAGATCCTCAAGCGTGAACGGGACATCATGTACACAGCAGTGAGCAATCCCAGTGGTATACTCTGGGAGTGGCTAGTGATACCACAGGGGCTAAGTAAAGCCTTTGAAACGTTTACCGAATGTTTTACGAATCTGTTGCGATCGGTGCAAGACTTCGCACTGAGTTACTTCGACGATGCATTCGTTCGTAGCCGGGCTCTGGATGGAAAGACGGATGTATAGTCCCATGGATCCACGTCCGGAAGGTTCTTACACTTGTGCGAGAGCATAAGTTGTTCGCGAGCCTCAAGAAGTGTATATTCACAGCGAAAGAAATACTGCTTCTTGGCTGCATCATGGGTAAAAACGGTGTACGACCTGATCCGGAAAAGATCAAGGCGATTAGCGACTGGCCTGTACCAGTCGACGTCAAAAAACTTCGAAAGTTCCTTGGCTTGGCAGCACATTTTCACAAACACTCGCGCAACTACGCCGAGATGACCGTACATCTCTCTCGTCTATTAAAGAAAAACGAGAGGTGGTCATGGAGCGCTGAGTGTCAGTACTCCTTCGAAGGCATCAAGAAAAGCTTGGTGCAATTGCCTGGTGGCGATTGCAGACCAGGATAGACCATTTCATGTGGTCTGTGACGCCAGCGATTCTGCAATCGGCTACGCGTTAATGCAGTCCGACTCAGACGGCGTTGAGCGCGTTGTCTGTTATCAGTAGCGTCTGCTGCAAGCAGCTGAGCGTAATTATCCGGTTCATGACAAGTAGATCCTTGCCATGAAATATGCACTGGCCAAGTTTCGGGTATAAATCTTAGAAGGTAGGTCTTTCATCGTTTATACCGACCATGTGTCGTTACGCACGGCCATAAGCAGTCCATACCTCTTGCAACGAATGGCGAGGTGGCTGTCGTTTTTCGCGGAGTACAACTTTTCCGTCGAGTACAAACCAGGACGACTTATTGTCGTCGCTGATGCTCTTTCGCGTTGGCCCGATTTCTTGCCGACTTCTCAACACAACAGTAGGGGTGATCCCACAGTCGCGACACTAACAGTGAGTGTTCTGTCGTCGAATCTGCTCGACGACGTGCGGAAAGCATAAGCAGAAGATGATTCTCTTATGCGATTGATGAATGACGTATCCAATCCGTGCGGTCAAGCTTTGAAAAGCTTGTTGTCTTAATGCCTCTCCTCAACCGAACGGTATTCTGTTCGTGATGGACTGCTGTATCATACAGCAGCCAACGGCGACTCACCTCGTGTCGTCTTTCCGGTTCATAATGATTTGCGATTGCGCATCATGCATGAGTGTCACGATGCCCCAACAAGTGGACATCGCGGTAGGGAAAAGACTTACCTCATGGTGAGTCGTGACTTCTACTGGCCCTGCCAGTATGCGTTTGTGCGCAAATACATTCGCGCTTGCAAAGTTTGTAAACGAATGAAGCCCAGTCCTTTATCCCGCGCACTCTTACAGCCTCTACCGATTCCGGCAGAGTGTTGGCAGTCCGCATCGACGATCTTCGTCTTTGAGTTTCTTAAAGACGTTCACAAGAACACAGGTATTCTTGTGTTTGTTGATCGGTTCAGCAAGATGGTATATCTTGTTGCTGTACCGGAGTCAATCACAGCCCACAGCTGTGAGCGTGTCTTCATCGATCCTATCTTCCGACTTCACGGGTTACCCCGTGAACTCGTGTCTGATAGGGACCCTCGTTTAATAGCGAAGTTCTGGCAATCCGTATTCCGTTCACTTGGAACGCGTTTGACGATGTCGACTTCTGACCATCCAGAAACAGATGGTCAGACGGAACGCGTCAGCCGCGTCCTCGAAGAGATACTTCGAGGGTGTGTACACTCGTTTACGAGCTGGAGTGGTTTCTTGCCGATGGCGGAATTGGCCATCAACAACTCGGTGTACGCGTCGACAACGCATACACCGTTCTTTGTGAATGTCCCACGCCATCCACGTTTACCCGCCTTCTTAGAGTGTGACTTTAGTTGAAGGGGGGGGTGGAATCGCTCAGACAAAAACTGATCCGGTTCTTGCTCATCACCCGTCGACAATAGTGTCGAAGTGATGGATGCCGATGTCGATTACATCGAACATCGACAAAGTTGATGACGACGATGCTGGCACATTCCGCATCGCCAAAGACTGCCACAGTAAGGACATTGACGCCCTCACTGGTGAAGTCAAATTTCTTTCAGCAGTGCACACGAAGCGCACTGCTGTTGACAAGGATAAATCAGCAGAAAAAATTCTGCTGACTCGCGAAGCGGCTGTCCGCTTCGTCCAAGACTCTATTGCAGATGCACTAGTCAGACAGAAGCGAAACGCAGACAAAAAAGAAAGAGCAAATGTTCTTCCATTTGATGAAGGAGACCTAGTTTTACTGTCTACAGTAAACCTACCGAAACACGCAGTGACAAACATGGGCAGCAGTATATTTATGTCTAAGAACATCGGTTTATTTCGTGTGTTGCGCCGCATGGGCACCGCATACACGATTAAACTGCCTCGTAAAAGGCGTACGCACTTTACGTTTAACGTTGAAATTCTACGCCCGTACTATTAGTACATGCCCGTTTCGAGAGGCGAAGGACACCTCCGCGGTCGAGAGCCGAGACCACATTCGAGTGGTCCCGTTTCAACGAGCCAGTCTGGTCGACTAGCGAAGCGACCTGCTGACGCAGCTGAGCGGTGTCCTGACGAGCCGCAGTCAGCTCGTCACGAAGGGAACGAACCAAACGTTTTTTCTCAAATTGGGCAAACGCAAACGCGGCACGATTCTTCGAACGATCGTGCGCTAAGGAGTTGTAATTATCCTCTACAAGGTCATGGATCTCGTTTCACCATTTTCGTTCATGAGCCAGGTCATCGTGTAACTGTTCCGCTACACGGTTCAGCTCTTGAACGTCAAGCTGATCCGACCCTCGAGCCGGATAAGGTGTTTTCGCCGCCACCACATCTTTTAGTGGATTCTGGCGGTGGTCAACGCTTTCTGGTGGAGCGTATTTTGAATCATTGCGACGTGAATGGCGTCCGGACGAGTTACCTTGTCCGCTGGCGTGGCTATTCACCGGCCTAGGTCAGCTGAAAGCCTCGTGCCCATCTGATAGTAGATGTCTTGGGTCTCGTCGAGCAATATGACGAGACCCAGCCGCTGCATTTGAAGAAGGGCCGTCGAAAAATGACCTCCCCTAACGCGAGTACAGGGCTTGTTAGGTGTCAATCCCTTCGACCATCTCGGAAGAGATGCGCGCCCTCCAGTAAGTAAAATTAGGGAGTTAGGCCTTCCTAGGGGCGCATTTGGAGTCGTCCAGGCAACTCGGACACGAATTGCCCCGCGAGAGACAGGGAAATCCTGCCTCTCTTGAAAGCCGGTGCAACTTGTATTGTACCCAGACTGGGTAACGCTTTTACAACCTGATGCAAGCTGCATTAAGTTTGGCGAGCCAGGCCTCACGGCCATTGTACTCGATGTTGTGGATTAAGGCGTTCCATCCTTGCATTAAGGCTTTACCGTCCTGACCGCGGCTGCCATTGTACCTTTGATGTTAGAAAGATTCATATGTACAGAATTCTTCCTCAGCACGAATAGTTTCCGAGCTGGAATTAGGAGGACAGATACTCCTACAGTCGAACAATGGGACTCAATCCTGTTTGGTGGTCATGCCGGCCACTCGGTCTAACCACTTGGATGATGGCATTCAAGGAGACTACACTTGAGGAGCGTGGCGCAGGACATTTCTGTCCCTAGGCCTCTTGTGTGGTGTCGGCATGAGCACTAACACCAGTGGCAGCTCGAACCCTCGAGTTGGTTCTGTCGTGGTGATACAAAGGTGCATCGCCACCTTTGCCACGCGTCCTATCGTCAGATGGACTTGCTTGAGACGAGGATTCGTCGGACAAGTTGCTCGGTCCAACATCTCGAAAATGATGTTGCCCCGTTCCCCAGAGCCCGTCAATCTGGCTCTTGAATTGTCCGCCCCGGATGATCCGGAGGCGTGAGTTGTTGCCTTCGAGTCGGATGCATCATTCGACTTTCCAGAATACATGTGCTCTTTTTCAGGCTCATCTACATTGCGAGTCACAGCATCCGCTGCAGACGCAGCGTGTGCATCTATCGCACGTGGTGACTCACCTCGTGGACTATTCTCTACAGGCAACGCCTGTTGCTGAACAGCAACAGCAGGCGAAGACTACCTGCTGCTGAAGCAGCACATCGCATGGACTCTATTGCCATGCGATGGCATTGGCAGATGAGTGGGAATTTGACCTACAAGTGCCCCCTTTCCCGGATTCAACGGTGGTCACCCTGCCCCACTCAATTGAATTGAATGAACGGGTGATTGCCGGTTAAGGGGGAATGTAACGGGGTTGCCCGTTACATGATATTGACACCAATCGGTGTCAATAAGGAGATTGTCTAGCGTGACAATATTCTACCAATGTTATCCGAGATGGATAGTATAGAAGGAACTTTATTCCACTCAGATAATGTTCATGCGCTGCTCCAAGATTGCTTGATGTAAGGCATATCAATCATAGATTGCCACCAATCGCTGCTAGACGCGCACAATGAGTGGTGGGCAGA